GAGTATATTGGTTTACATTTTTGGTTGGTGGTGTGCCGCGTGATTTTTTCAATTAAAAAAGTGTACCTTGGCTCAAAAGAGGTTGAAAAACACTGCTTTATTCTCTTAAATTATGCCACGCACCCTTAAAGGAACCTGGCAAGTCGGTCTGAGGATTTGTTTCTAATGTAAAAATCACACCAGAGTTACGGGCCGCTTCTCACCGAACCATTCACATCTGCGTCTTTCTTTGAGTGTGATTGTTACTGCTTCTGTCCCTCTTTGTGGTTGTAGATGCTGGGGTGACAACCTTATCTCCGTCTGAAGCAGGTGATGAGTAAAATCCATGTTAACAAGATGGCAGCTCTTCAGTGGAAGTGCTTGTGGACGGGTCAGCTTAACACCACGTCATTATTTTCGATGAGCCACTTAACAGTTTATTGATCTGGAGACCAGCAGGGCTCATTAGGCAAAACACTTGGGCATTTCAAAGCGTGTACGCCGTGCCGCGTACAACTGCGCGTGTCGGTGCAAAAACGAATGCGACATTTGCTAGCTGGCTGACAGCGACGACAAAAGATATTTTTCTAAGCGATCGTTGTCTCACTGTGAGTGGAAATGGATGAATCGTTGGTGGACTGGGACGCTCCTGTTGCGTCAGAAAACGGAGAAAATAAACAACCAAATAAACTACATCCGAACTATGAATGAGTTTTTGTTCTCATTATCGACACATTTCACATTTGACGACACAAACCCATGCGTATGCAGGTAAACAATGTACCGTATTCAGTCAGTATTACATGGTCTACCGGGATTAAGCTGCGTTGCCCTTAACTCTCCCACCAGTGGTGCTGCAGGAGAACCCCAATACGTCTCCTCCAACATGAAATACATATGTATAATTATATGAAGATGTGAAGTTAAAAAAAAAAAAAACATCTAAAAGCAGCCGACAACTTCATGCTGTATGATCAGATTTATTTATATAACAATGAGAATAATCAAAAACATTCCTCTGTTTGATTTTCTGATGTAGTTACTGACAAATATTTCTCTAACTGTGTTGACAATGAACGCAAGCATACAAGTAAGAGAACAAGTATTGTGTAAGTATATTTGTATAATATCAGAGATAATCTGTGTGTGCGCTGAGTGACAGACACAGCGGGAGTATCAATGACTGTGTAGACCCTGCTTGACCCGATATGATGCGACCCTCCTGGTCTTTCAGCGCGCGCGCACACACACACACACACACACACACACACACTCATGCATGAGATGGAGATATTATTCTTTTTGCTAGAAGCTCAGAAACTGGAAGTGTTGAGGAAACTCATGAGAACTGTTGCAAATGACAAATTTTGAGATAAAAATCATTTTTTCCCCTCTAAATAACAGATGGAAATTTTATTTTTCTAAGATTTTATTTAAGATATGATCTTTTAGAAACATCTTCCAGCTGAACACTGTTTAGATTTATTATGTGAAGTTTGCAAAAAGTCAGAAACTGCACTGCATCCTGTTTTTTGGGGGGGTTATTTAAGGTAAATAAATGTCCAGTTTTTATTTTGCACCCATTTTGAACTGGGATGAAAATGGGTGCAAGCTGGAAATGTGCAGTGATGCAGCTGGGCTTGTCAGGGGTGACACTGCCCCCTAAAGAGCTTCAACTTATCTTTACTTGTTTAATTTTGGACACCTTTCAATAAATTAATTACTTTAATGCGCTATGGAAACCCTATATTTATGCAAAGCCATAAAGAAGTAACTCAGCACTGTCCATAACCAGACAGGAAGCTGACTGCTGGTGAATTATGTGAAGCTTGGGCTTCACATAAAGATTAAACTTGTGACAGACTTTTACTTTTTTATATCTTGGTAAGTCAAATGTTTCATGTCATTTAATGTGTGTGTGTGTTTCTACTGCGATTGACAACACGGCTACATAGTGCTTTGTGTAAAGATGAGGATATTAATATGTAGGTGTTATTAGTTTAAAGGTATAAGAGCTTTGATTCTCGGGGGACAGTGAACAATGTCACTTTGGCTTGACTGATTTTGACGCTGCACTTCTCAAAACAGACCAAATCACCTGCCATCGTGTGCTTATATCAGCTGCACAATTAAGGCGCTGTCCCTAGAGGCTGAATCGTTCGAGGCATTCGCTCTTTTCCTGGAGAGAATATGGAAAAGAGAGCGAGCGTGGCACGCCAGACGTCACTTCCTCCCTTTGGTTCGCTTTGTTATCTTGGTTCACAGAGTTTGCATGCTTGGTGCGGATGAGTGCTCTCGCCACTTCAGCTGAAGCGGACAATCAGAGGAACACAGGCTCTGGTCTGTTTGAAGCAGACAAATTACAAAAAAAAAAAGTCAGAACGGCTGATTCTGACATAATTTCATCGAAATATTACTGAAATATTTCACTGCGATAAGTTGGCAATACACCTTCAATGTAACAATCATATTTGATTGAAAAATATTAAACAACATCCGTAAAATAATACACACTTGTTTTAACGCAGAGCAGAAGGGAACAGCGGCTGATTGCTAACTGCGCATGCTCACAAACTTGAGCGGCATGTTTTAATGTATTTTTATTGATATGCATCTACATATTTGCCATTAATGCGAATGACACACAGGACGTCTGACATGTTATTGTTTTTCTTTGTAATAATCCATGTCCATTATCAGCTCTTAAATATCTTTTTTGTTATTTTTTTGTGCAAATAAAATCCCACCAAATCCAAAGTGATTCAAAGGACACAAAGAGAAAAAAATATTAACAAATAATTGCAAAAAAAGTAAATTTAAAATGGCCCAATGTTTTATAAATTACCAAGAAAAACAGTTTGAGGAAATAAGCACTGAAAATGCTTGGAGGCTTCTAAAATCTGACTTTTTTTTCTTCTCTTCAACAAAAAGGCTTCTGATCAATAACATGCTTAATTGAGCATTAACAGAGCCGGTCCAATAAATAAGCAAACTAAGCCACTGCATGGAGGATGAGGGGGCTTGATTTCTGACACACTGTGTGACTCAGAACTTTTCCTCCTTCTTCTTGTTGGGCAAATCAAGGAGGTAACGTTTAAATTCACTCAATATTTATAAAAAAAAAAAAGTTGTAAATATTTTCAACTAATTTAGAAAGATAAAACCACATTTAAACTCGTGATGAATTGACAAATATGCAAATCGGAGTTACACGATTGGAATAATTTAATGTTATTTAGTCAGTTCAGCTTCTGTCTGAACTGATGTTGCATTTCATGGACCCTAAATAAAACTGACATTTTTTTCACATGCCTGTCAGCGCAGTTAAACTTCTCTCCGATCCCACTGATCCTGTACTGAAATGCTGAAGCCCAGACGTGACTGTGAGAGCAAAAGTTAGAGAAATAAAAGTCACGACTGCTTTCAATTCAGTAAATGATGCAAGCCGACCAACATGGTTAGTAAATATCAAGATGAGGAGTTCACTGTAAGCATACCGTAAATATGAAGGCTCGTCTAAGCTCCAGCTTTACCATATGCGTGCCTCAGCCGTCCAGGGCTACATTAATTTCAGCTAATATTCCTGTGCTAATGCACACGTTGGTCTGCTCGGCGACGGAGGAATAAATGAAAGGCGGTGAGCGGAGCAGTGCAGCCCAGACCTCCAACCCTAATCAGATTACATGATTAATGAGGGGGGGAAATGGGTTCATGTTGTATTAAGAAAATGTGTGTTTGAACCCAAAGCGGCGCGTATCAGCAGTCTAATGCATCAGCCATCGACTGGACACCTGAGATCCAGGGTCTGCTCTGCTGTTAGCTCCGTCCCAGCGGAGAGGCGCTCGCATCGATTCTCCTTAAACTCGCTCTCGCTTGCTCACTTTCTTCCTGCTTCTCCATTTTTTTTTCTCCTGGTCCATCTTCTATCCTTTGTTTCCTTCTAGATGTTTCCTGCATTTCTTTCACACCTCCTGGGTGTAACACCCACTGACTCCCCTCATTTTTCTGCCCCTGTATCTGTCCTTCTCTTTTCCTCTTACCGGCTTTCTTCACTTCCCTAACAGGTTTTTGTTTTTGTCCACATGGCACAATAGTAACAGTATTTTCTATCTGTTATTTAGCTTCTGGATGATTTAGGTCCATTTCTGGCACCTTGGTGACGGCCAGCAGTCAGCATTTTCAGCTGAAATGTCGTAACTCGACTTAATCTCCGAGACTCGCCGTGATACATTAGCTTATCCTGCCCCATCCAATAAAAGCGACTAAGTTCAGGAGCCATACTGTAAAAGTAACACAACCAGGTTTCCATAGCAAGACAGGAGTTATTCGTTATTCTTATCCTCACTTTGTTTTCCCCACTGAATATTTTTTACGAGAATAAATGATTTGAAGGAACAAAGCTTATTCTTTGAGCATCAGAGACGGTTCAGTCGAAACCTCAGAGAAGTCTTCATTTTAGCCGTGGTGCTGGGAGTCCATTAGACCGTCTTCCCTGGTTCTATGGAGCTGGTTGCATCTCGACACTCTCCGGGCAGCCGAGTTGTTATCTGTGCGGCAAATGCAACAAACGCACGCAGAGCAGGGGGTGTCAAATTCATTTTCATTTTCATATCAAGATCATTATGTTCTCGAAGGGCCCGTTGTGGCCGAATGTATTGATAAAACCCATTAACAAACTTCAAACATGAATAAAGAGCCGTCTCTGCATACGATGAGCACTTCTTAAAACGAATTAACATTGAACATCTTTTCACATTGATTTAATTTGGTAGATGTAATCCGCTTTGACGTGATTGATGAAATAATATTTAAGCACCCAATTGTCATCTCGAAGGCTCCGTTTAGGAGGACATCTAGAGTCCAGAGGGCCACATAAAGAGCTGTGGTGGATTGACACGAGGAGTAAATAAGGAGCTGTTAGTCTTAAACACGGAACGACAACAATCGTTTCACCAACAACAACAACCACTGAGCCACTAAGTTGTAGCGAAAGAGGAATTAATTTTAGCATCAAATATTACCAGGCCAGGTTTGGTTAAGCAAATGGTAAAAAGAGGTGAAAGTTAACAGTGATGCTGAATTATTTATATTGCCAGAATTTATTTTTTTTTTCACGTCTCACTGAAACCACAATTCGAAGTATCTTTTTATTAGGCTTTTATACGATAGACCAACGTCACCCTGTGCAGACCACGCCAGTATTCAAACATGGTGGTAGTGGTATTATGCTGAGGAGATGTTTTTACTCTAAATGTTAAATGAGCGACTCTGGAGGAAAAAAATAAAATCCTGTTAGAAGCTGCGAAATACTCGACACATAAAACTTAATTTTTATTTGTTAAAAATGTAAAATCTTGACTCTGGACTTTGCGTTGGTTTGTCGTCGACAGAAAACATATCTGAGATTTAAGGGGGTGTGAATACTTTAGAAAAGGCACAGTGGTGTCCCTCCGTGCATCCAGTAACAGAAGCTCATCTGAAAGCAGGACGCGCAGAAACAGCCAAACGTACAGACTGGACTCTTTGTGGCGTAATTTGCTCCAGACTGGATCCCTAGGTCATGCGAACACGCCAGATTTATGAATAATCAGAGAGCGCTCAGTGTTTGCTCTCCTCAACTCAACCATCATCTCCAATGAGAAAGTTTACTCTGAGAAGTTTAGTTACTGATTCTAAGAAAGGAGACGCCCATTAAATCCAAATAACCCCGGGCTTAGAGAATCAAAGCAATAAAGCACGTTGGATAAATAAATAAATGAATGAAATGAAAATTATAGAGTCAAATCAGAGCAGTGTGAGGGAGACCACAGAAAAAAACCCCGAGATATGGAAACTAACCTGCAATATGTAGACAAACAATTACCGCAGCATTTCATCAGTAGAGATGATTCACCGCTGCAGCATGCTGAGGTACGCACGTGTACGCACACGCGCAAAAGTGCACGTAAACCCAAACAACAAACACAAGCAGGCAAGGACTCACTGGGAATCCTGAGGAAAATATCAGTGCTTTGGAAATATTACCGGTTATATTTTCATATTTCTACCCCCGTCCCCACACGCTCCCCGCCGCCCCCCCTGCTGCTATAATTTTCTCCGCTGTCAAACAAATCAAAACGCCAAGACCAAACGGAGGCTCAGATTTTCCACTGTCAGGTTCACAAACGCGGCGCTCTTACAAAAAGTACTCTGTGCGAGAAGACGGGACCTGTGTGTGTTTAAAGTAGTTTCAGCGAATGTTTGTCCAGATGACCTTCCAAGTCTGGGAAAACACCTCGACTCTGTTTTTCTTCCCCCCCCTCCATTATCTAATATTAGTGTTTTAAAAGTTACTTCTTTTCCAAAACAAGTCAAAGCACAATGGACGGTTCATTGAGCTAACTTTAATGCTAAGCTTAAATTAAACACAAATATACTCACGGGAGGTTTTGGTGTTGTTGAAGTAAACAGAGGGACATTTCAGTCTTTTACATCAACTCTGGTCCTCAGGTAGCTCTGCTCTGCGTGGTTTAGATGAGCCTCTGTTCCAGCACACCTGATTCAAGCCATCCAGTGCTTCAGAAGCCATTTCAGTCAGGTGTGTGGAAGCAAACAGATGCTGGAACCACTGTGCCGCCGCCGCTGCTGCTTTGCTGCCACGTCACATCACAGATCCTCAACTAGATACTCAACGTTTGACAAACGTGGCAAACTCGTGGGCCATTCTAAGTTGTCCGCTTCAATCAAACTCTAGTTTGTTTGTCTACAAAGTCTGGTTCTTTTGGGGACGTGTGAATGCGCAACTATAGCGCAGTGCATTCTGGGACAATAGAACCACAACAAATGTGCTGGTCTTCTTCATTTGTTTTCGTTTCTTTTCCTTCAGTAGTTTCTGGTGTAGCGCCACCACAGGTGAGGAGGTGAACAGGTTTTTCAACTAGCTTGAATTGTTAAGCGCAGGCACAGCGGGAAAGTAAACGGCACCAGCTGAAAATGCAGCAAATGTTGCAGTTTTGATCCCCGATCGATTCGGGGAACTGAATCGGACCACCGGGTGTGAAAACACCCAAACGTTATGCTTTAAGCGTCGTCTTGTTGGAAGTCGACCACCATCCCAGTCTGAAGTTCTTTTATTGCCACTTGTAACAGGTTTTCTTCCATGATTAATTTTTATTTAGCTGCATACATCTTTCAATTCAGCTTACAAAGTCTAAGCCAAGGAAAAGCGTCACCTTGGGTATGGTGTGTTCAGGCATTTGGCCAAGTAATTGTAGTTTTGTTTATTGTGTCATACTTGCGGGGTGGTTGTGGCTCTGTGGGTTGAGACGTTATCTTGCAATCGTAAGGTTGTAGGTTTAAAGCCCCTGGGCACAAGTTGCCTCCTGATCTGGATAATTGTTGTGTAAATGTGGCTCAGTATGCTATCATGCACTTTGAGCGGTCTGCCTGGCTGGAAGTATGCTATATTAGTATAATCCATTTTCAGGCGATGATTTTATTTAGGGATATCAGAAGAAAGGGGAAAGAAAACTTTTGTTCACCCCACTCTCCAGATTCATGTGTGTAAAAACTTATTTTCTTCCTTTTCACAATCACACGCTACATTTCGGCATTGTGATGACAAAGAAAAAAAAAAAGCAAAGGTCCACTTCATTCCTCCAAAAGGATGGTGAGGCTCTCCGCTGCCGTCTGATTACGTTTCCCCTCGAAGTGCCATCCGTCATCAGGGGGTCAGAGGTCAGGAGATTCATCAAAACAGTTTGTGCAACGGGAGGTACACAAGGGAACCTCTCAGGATTAGAGGCAGCTCGCTGTGTTTATGGCCGCCTGCATTAAGCCCCGGACCGTCGACACCTGCCGAGGCCTGCTCGGTGTGAACCCGGCAACCGTTCTGATGAGCTGGAACGGCAGACAATCACAGGAATGCCTCTTTTAATTTCCGTTGCTGATCTAGCATGTTGATCTGGAGTCTCTGGAGTTAAATTTTTTTGTAGCTTTTCCCCAGGCTACTGATTCGATTTTACTACAGAATAAAAGCTCGCTTGACAAATTAGAGGGAAGCGGGTGAATTTTATGGTCAGAAATGAGTTTATAAGCTGTGAAATGTGATTAAAATGTGCGACTTTTTCCGCCAAGCTTTCAAAGACATTTACGTCAGCGTTTATAGTGTGGATACTGTGTGAATGAAAACCTGCAGAAGTATATTTTCTATTAATGCTTTCAAAAATGATGGGAGTCTCTGTGATTGCCGTCATCATCTGTTGTATTTTTCTGTACTGACGTTAGCGGTGTCTGAGCTTTGGACAGCGCAGGAAGACCACAGCGCGTGGTGCTTATGCATATGCCATGAGTGAAGTCTATTGTGTTTGACACGCGTTGATTGCCAGACAGCTGGCGTTGAGGATAAACTTCCCTCAAGCATCTAAATTCCCTGTTTGGCAGATTATTTTGGCTTTTTATGATTTCCTTAATACGGTGCCCTTCTGGGTTTGTCTGCAAAGCCCAGCCAGATGAATGTTTAACACGAATTTGCCACAGAGTTCGGTTTATGTGCTGCTCAGCAATGACTGATGCTCAACTGACAAAACGTCTGTCCGCCCGAAGATCGCACTGGATCCATTAGCTGGTGTTTGGACACCTGTAGGGGCTGGGGCTCGAAGGGGACGGCCGTCAACAAGGGGCTTCGGTACATCGAGAGATTATCCAAACAGTGGGACCCCGGCTAATAAAAACAAGCCCCCCTGTTTAATGCATTAGTGCTGGATTAGTATGAAGAATGGGGACCTGAAGGTCTGACTGATGCACCCTCCAGAGCTGTTTAAAGGGATCTTCTGTAAATAATTAGTGATTTATTGCAGTCTGTATTTATTAGATTGGAAACTGCAGAGTTTCCACCACTTAGAGGAGGAGAGGAAGGGAAGTAGCTTTAGCATACACACACTGAGACTGCTTTAGTCGTATGCAGAAGATGAACCGCACGCATTGAGGGAAAATATTAATGTCTCTATTTAGAACAGAAGAGAACATTGGGATTTTCTTTGTTACCTCAATAGAGAAGGTTAGGTGTACCAGCATCAAGGTAACATGCAAATGGAGGCATACGTTTTCACGCAACATAAAATATAACAATGTAAAATTAAATTCACAGTAAAAACAATACATTGTTATTATAAATAACATTGTATTTAAAGAAATATGCAGCTAAGTAGGATCAGTTAGATCTTCTAAGTTTTGCGTCCTCTTTATGAAAAACTTTAATATTCTTAATTTAGTCAGTGAAACAGCTAATTAACCAGATAGTGGTGTTTTCAGGCCTTCATTTCTGTTCATTCTAATGATTTCCCACATAACACTAATGAAACCATGACATTTGAGATCAGAAAATGACATCAGACCAACAGAAATGTCAACTCAATATAAAGTACGTTTAGTACATGCTTTTTTTTTAAAAAAAAAAAAAGAAAAGCTTTTTTAACACATATTTCAATTTACTGAGATGTACGTGAACATGTTTTGTACTTGGAATTGCAGGTTTATTTGTAGATAATTTTCCAACATGCATAAACCATTCACAGTGTTTTTGTCTTTCAAGATGTTTTAAGAGAATAGAAGTCCACTTTGATCTTGGCTATTTTTGGATTATACTTTAGGTTCGGCCTCCAAAAGCCAACTAATCTGTATAAATACTAAGGAGAGACCTAACTCCTGTGAGCCATATATTACACTCTTATAACCCGCAGTTGCAAACTGCAGCTAAATTATAAGCAGTTTATACCTGTTCAGAACTCTGTGCTGTCCCTTTAAGCTGAAGCACCAAATTTCAGATTGGAGAAATTTAAAAAATCGTTCCCACAAATAATCATCCCCCTTTTAAAACAAATACGCAGAAAAACACGCACTTTGCGGGGAAATAATTAGGAAGAAGTTTGTTCCACAGTCTGCAGCTTTCTCAGAGTCTGCATTGTTTCCGCGCTCTACGCATACAAGCCCAGAGTACAGTGAGCGCAGTGTGCTCCCCGTAGCCGTACAGCAGCTTAACCCTGGGTGTGTGAACCAGGTCATGGGCATAAACTTCCAATTTCTCCCTGTGACATTTATTAACTCCTACAACTGCGACAGCTGCTGTATTTTTTCCTCTCCGGGCATGGAAAATTAAATCATCTAATTTCCTTTGCCCAGCCCTATTTTGTGTAAAGTTTCTTAGTGTGAGTTCAGGGAAAGATTTTAACACATTAAATAATTTATTTACACAGTTAAATTCCTCCTGTTGCAGCAGTACGGCGTAGGTGGCTCGCCACTCCGTAATCCGGTTAGAACAGCAGTTAATACAAAGGCAGTGGGTTAGCGGTTTAATCTGAAGCAAATCTGATTGTTTTTGACAATAAATGCAGAGGATATATGAGGACAGCTACATATTTAACGCCGGTACAGCTTGATAATTTGTGTATTAAAACACAACCGCTCTAAAGTCTGTATATTAAATAGATTTACTTATTTTAATATTGATAAATATCAGCTTTGCATAATATCGTAGTGGCGTCTTTAATGCTAATAACTGTTAGCGAGACACCGTAATGCCATCAGGGGATAATTGCTGGTCTCTGACGTGCTGGGGACGCTGCTGGCAATAACTGGGAATTTGCTTCTTATTAAAAACTGCTTTGGTGACTTGGGAATACATTCATTTTGGCCTCTTTTATATCTGCAGACAGGGAATAAACTGCTAAGGAGCATGAGAAGCCTGAGGCAAAAGTGCAGGCATACTCTGGGAATGTGTTTTTTTGGGGGGTTTTTTAATCATTATTATTGTTTATTCTGGCTCATAAACACTCATCACTTCACTTTTGAGTATTGCCTTTGCTTAAACTGCTAAGTAGCTCCGATAATGCACCTTAAATATAATTTTTTTTACGATCAGATTTAGGGTCTGCGATCGTACATCCATTTTTGATGGAGAGACCTGAACCGCCGTCCAGCTGGCTCTAAAGATCTGCTGGTTTCCTGACTACAGAGCATGCCACCGAAGTGCAACCAGCTCAAAAAATGAACATACCTCTTCAGTGAGGAAGTTGTAACAGAGCAAAGACGACTCAAAGTTAGCTGGGGTTTTTTTTTTAATTGAAGTCAAATAATACACAAGTACCTATTCCATACTTGAATGGAGCTAATTGAAAGTAAAATGATATGTTGAGATATGTCTCCAAATCATTTAGGCTGCGAGAAAATGAGAGAGAGAGAGAGACTTTAAGCAAACAGGAAGACTGAGGAGAGAACATCAGAGCTCCTGGTTGTGATTCTTCAACCTTTGTTTAAAAAGGTTAAGGGTCTCGATTGTCCAGGGAATACACATTCAGACAGCTGTTTTAATAATGCTAGATGTGCTAGCCGAGCCAATCCCTAATAAAAAAAATCAGTCAACTCTGCACTCATTTTTTCTTTCTTTTTAAAATAGTAAAGCCTTGTTTTACAGTGACTGCTCTCTCTCATACATCACTAATGACCCTGAAAATAATCAGCTTCCTATATCTATCTAGGAGAAAATGAAACTGGCTAAAATCGGTCCTAGCATGTGAGAGCTTTACAAAAAGCAGAGATGGTAGAAAAAGGGACAAACTTCTGATTGTTGCATTTCTAGAAAAAATATTTTGTTTTTGATGTTTTAATTTTTCAGTAGCTGACAGCTGTGCACCTTGTTACTTACGTGCTCACAAGTAACCTTCAGCGATCATTTACTCTACAGTGTTTACATTCTGGTGAAAAAAGAAATCCTGGGCTCATAATTTGCATTCTCTCTTTCCGTGTACCGTACGGCACATTTGCCGTGAATTTA